TTCAAAAGTAAAATACATAAAGTATGGATTAATTTTCTATCATTTTAGGTGTACCACATCAATTAAGACTTCATTATAGGTGTCATCAATTAATTATATTATGTCACATAAATAAAAGTATTTTATTTTAGTAAGTCATCACTATATGTCAGTATCTAATGAGTTGGTTATACTACTTCACTAATACAAGTCGAACAATAAAGTTTTTCTCATGTGTCAGGGGCACATGCCCCTTCGCATGATTAAAATTTTTAATTTTTAAAATTATCTACTAAATTTTTCCTTCCTTTTGCTTTTGCTAATATTTCTTTGATTTCCTTAAAAAACAAAAAAAAGTTAAATTTTCCTTCTTCTCTCAAACTTTAATTAGTTCTCATTTTTCTTCCTTTTTTTTGGTAAATAAAGATTCTTCCTTATGCACTTAGGAATCTTGTGTCTTGTTGTGCCCAAAAAAAAATTTATTTTGGTTAGAACTAAAGTGATATCTAATTTACCCGACTACAAAAGTCCTTTCGTCTCATCTATGACAGTGAAGTAAATGAATAAATGGCTGAAATCAAGAAAAAGATCAAAGAATTTCAAAAAAGATTCGGAACCGAAATTGCACAAAAAAGGCTCAAATAAGATAATAGTAAAACTTCGTAGGCTCTTTCTGTCCAAGTAAAGATCACTGATAACACAATTTTCTTTTAACTGAAAAAGTCATAATGTTCTCATTTCCTACCAACAAATAAAAAATAATAATAATAAAAAAGAAAAACAAATTCTTGGTAGAAATTAAAAGGAAAAATTTTATGGCAACGGAACTAACCACTTGATTAGGGTAGATTAAGTTGGGTTTGGTTTAAGGAATCACATGCAATGTGATGCACCATCTCTATTTCATAACTAAATATGTTTCTCTAAAAATAAACCAATTAAACATACAGTAGAAAAAGAAAACAATCACTAAACATTTTCCAAATCACTTCGCCAAGACCTACGCAAATAAAGGCATTTATTTCATTTATTGAATGAATATAAATTCTTCCGGCCATTGGAATAATTAGGGATGGTAATTCGTGTTTGCGGATTGTAATCGTGTCGTGTCGTATTATGTCGTATCGTATCGATTTAAGGGTATTCTATTAAACAGCTCAACCCGAACACAACTCATTTGAATAATCGTGTCAAAAATCCTTAACACTAATCGAACGTGTTTATTAAACGGGTTATACGTGTAACCCGTTTAATGACCTATTTAATAAAATTAAATATTTTATTATTTAAATTATTAATAATACTCTATGAAACATTAAATATTAGAAAAATATAAATTTCAATCCAACCAAATTATTATATAATCTCTAATTTACAAAAGAATTAATTATAATATAAATTTGCTTATAACACGTATAGTTAAACGGGTTGAACCCCTCAATTATAACACGACACGATTAACTAAACGAGTTAATTGTGTCGACCTAAATCCGTTTAAGATCAACCCAAACCCATTTAACTTGTGTCATGTTCGAGTAGTATTGACGGATCGTGTTGGAAGGTCGTATGAAACTTTGCCACCCCTATAGACAACTCAAACTGCGTTTCTTTATTCTAGAGATCATTTATCTTTGTTTTGAATCATTAAGTTTAAACATTATTTCAACGATCCTTAATCCTTTCAAAACGACAGCAACATACTTTTTTTGTGATTTCCTTCTATCGAATAATCATATAAACGGTGGATTCCCGCGCGATACACCTTGGGTTTTATCAATTCCTTTCAATTAGTCAATTTTTTTTTTTTTTTTTTTTTTTCAAGCAAATAATATAGCAAAAAAAATACGTACTCTGTTTCAAAAAAAAAGTGTCTCTTTTACCATTTTCCAAAGTTATTTGTTTTTTTTCATCATTGGTCAAATGATTCCGCGCCACCTCATTATCATGTCTTCCTGCCAATTCTATGCATCAAATCCGCACTTAAGCTACTCACCGAAACATGGCTATTGTGCAATGTTTTCTTTCTTCTTCTTTTTTCTTTGTTTGCCCAGCAGACCATTAACTTCCACTAAGGAATCTCGTAATCAAACTGGATTTGCCGACCCATGTGACTAAACGCCTGCGACGCAACCATTGAATCCATAAGAGCATGGTATCAATTAGTCAACTTAATTATTCACATGCGCAGAAAAGAGAACCAAAGGGTCTTAAAGTCTTTGGTCCTTTTTGAAGCGAGAGGTTTAAAACTCGAACCTGTGGCGATAATTGGCGCACGTGTTTTCTTTAATTTTCACTATATATATATATATATATATATATATAAAAGAGGGCAGTAATATGTTCAAATTTTGGATGACGAGCAAGATTGCAAGAAGACTGATAATTAACTTTTTTATTCTCCTTCTCTTTTTTTTTTTTGTAATTTTAATTTTTTTTAAAAATATCCGGGATGGCACGAACCTTTAGGGCCCCTCAACAACCCGATTAATCTCCGAAGATCCGGAAGGACGTCTCTCCACCCAAGTCAGATAAGTCACTACAGAGGTAACAGAGATACTCAACAGGACTCAAACATCAAATCTGGAGCTTGCTAAGCTCCATAATCTAGCGAATTAATTGCTAAGCCATATCCAAAGTGAATTTTGCAATTTTAATTTATTGTTGTTGAGAAAGTATCAATTGTATGCCATAGTCTGTGCGGGATCTAACAGAACCTCATAACACAAAAAAACTAAAAATAAAAATAATTATTGAATTAAAGTTTGACCAAATTTTAGATTTTTTTAAAAGGAAGCCATATTTGCAATCTATTTTTTTTTCTAATTGCACATTATTTATCTTTTTCTTTTAAGGAAATGATAAGAAAGTCCTTTTACTTTTCTCCAATTGCACGCTGTTTATCTTTCTCTTAAAGGAAATGACAAGAAGGTCCTTAATTTATTCAATAATTTTTTTTTTTTTTTTTTTTTTTTATCACAAGAGATAATTTATTCAATAGAGATATATTTTTTTTGAATCCTCTTTTTTTTGTTTTTTTTTTTTAATCTTAAACAGAGAGATAATTTCTTCAACATATATATATATATATATATATATATATATATATATATATATATATATATATATTTTCTTTTCTATCAAAAGAGATAATTTTTTTAACAGTTGACTTTTTTTTTCTTTTTTTTTTTACAATCCTGTCAAAAGAGGCAATTTATTATTCAACATAAATTTTTTATTTGGTCGGGTGAAAAAGCAAAATTATTTAATTTTTTTTCAGTGATAAGGACAAGAAATCTGAAAGAACAGTTGTGACATTTAAAAAATAATTATTATTTACTTATAAAGTGGAATGCACTCCAATGTTTAACCATTTAACATGTGTACTTGAATTTTGATATTAACATTGAATTGTTAAAACTTAGTTCCTTCCATGAAATCAAATTAAACTTAACAAGACTTTTATATATATATAAATAAATAAATAAACATTCTAAACATTCACAAATTTTATGCATTTCCCAGAACAAATTTTTTGCTTTTTTTTTTTTTCAGTCAGGTAAATAATTGCAAATGACATTGTCGGTGGACGGGACTCTTGTTTCACAAAATGGTATTTTAGAAAGAAATAAAAATTGGTGGTTCTGGTCAAGGTTGAGAAAATGGACATCTTATCTTTCAAAGATATGGTAAGTAATCCCATGGCATAAGAAATCTGAAAGAACAGTTGTATCATTTAAAAAATAATAATTATTTACTTATAAAGTGAAATGCACTCCAATGTTTAACCATTTAACATGTGTACTTGAATTTTGCATGAATTTGATATTAACATTGAATTGTTAAAACTTAGTTCCTTTCATGAAATAATATTAAACTTAACAAGACTTTTATATATATATAAATAAATAAAAACATTCTAAACATTCACAAATTTTATGCATTTACAAGAACAAATTTTTTTTTTTTTTTTTTTTTTCAATCAGGTAAATAATTGCAAAAGACATTGTCGGTGGACGGGACTCTTGTTTCACAAAATGGTATTTTAGAAAGAAATAAAAATTGGTGGTTCTGGTCAAGGTTGAGAAAATGGACGTCATATCTTTCAAAGATATGGTAAGTAATCCCATGGCATAAGAAATCTGAAATAACAGTTATGTCATTTAAAAAATAATAATTATTTACTTATAAAGTGAAATGCACTCCAATGTTTAACCATTTAACATGGGTACTTGAATTTTGCATGAATTTGATATTAACATTGAATTGTTAAAACTTAGTTCCTTTCATGAAATAATATTAAACTTAACAAGACTTTTATATATATATAAATAAATAAAAACATTCTAAACATTCACAAATTTTATGCATTTACAAGAACAATTTTTTTTTTTTATTTTTTTTTTTTCAGTCAGGTAAATAATTGCAAATGACATTGTCTGTGGACGGGACTCTTGTTTCACAAAATGGTATTTTAGAAAGAAATAAAAATTGGTGGTTCTGGTCAAGGTTGAGAAAATGGACATCGTATCTTTCAAAGATATGGTAAGTAATCCCATGGCACAAAAACCAGTTCAAGGTTCAATTATTTTCCGACAAAGAAAGGCTTACGATTCAATCTTTTCGTGCAAAAGCCGGTTTATCCGCCACGTAATTTATGTGACCAACTTAGTGGGTTGAATTGTCCACATAATTTTCATTTCTATCAAATCACCACGTGATCACAATGTCTAATTCTAGGGAACGTGCCCATTTTTGCTTGTCAAACCCTAGGAGACATGTTTTTTTTGGCTCCGACATTATGAATTCACATATCATATTTTTTTCTTTCAAAAGGGGTGTAAGGTATTTAGACTTTGAAATCAGTGGTTGAATTTTGAAATCTTCATTTAAAAAATAATATAAATACATATTTGGAATGCAACGGGCATTCCATAGATTGAGAAGAATGGATTTTCAAATTTTTTTCATGGTAAAGGAATGACCATAAATGGACAATCCATTCCATTCCTACACGCCAAACATAGCATTAATTTATGAGAACCTTAGCCCCCCAAAACTCACATGTTCCAATATCTCAAATTCGTTTACAACTAGTTGAAAGTTGAAACTAATATGTACAAATATAATAAAAAATCGAAAGACTAAATTCAATATTGGGTGACCTAAAAGACCTGAATTATGTACAATTTATACAGCTTTAACTCTTCAAAAGCCATCTTTCCATCCTTGAAAGGGGTTCTTGACTGATCAATCTGACCAAAGAGAAAAGAGCGATTTTCAGAGACACCACTGAAAGTACAAACTTATTTCAGATGTTCCACTACTTTTAACCATCCAAAACCAGTGGTTTCATCAAAATTTATGTACCCAACTCCTATTTACTTCAAAAATTCAGCATAAAACATGTCTAGGTTGATGCTTGAGCAACCTATTTTGCAGAGACACTCCCACAAACAAACTTAGAAAGTATAGATCTACTCACAGAGGCATGTATACTATTCATTTTCTGGATCAGCGCCAGTACTGGGCCCAGCGATGAATGGTCTCCACCATTTGAGGGAACAAAGCGCTGACACTCTCATTGATAAGATCTTGGAAAAAATGTATGCACTCCTCATCGTCCAAGTCTAACCGGAACTTTTCTTGAAGCTATAAGCATCAAAAGAGACTTGGTCAAAACAAGATAAACAATCATATATCCTTAACAAGTAAGTATCCAGAGGAAGCCACCTTTAGAATGCCTTTCTCAGGATCAGAAGCAATATCGGGAATATTGGAACCCGCCATGAGGTGAAATAGATTCAATATTAGGTTACTAGATTTCCGGAGGATGTTGTACGCTTCACAACAGTAGGATTTGAACCTGGTATAGTATTGGCTGCAGGAGGAAAAAATGACTCAATTTGCTTTCTGGAGTCAAATTATGTCAAATATCTGATTGGATCTCGTATAACTAACATGACACGCCAAAAGCACCAAAGTTTTATAAATAATTACTTTAAAAAGGTAAGAATACCTTTCCGCTCCACCCATAGCCTCAACCATTTCTTTGCAAAGCTTCATTGGTGGTGGAAATGGCTTTGGGTCTCGACCCAAAATAAAACCGAAATCAACATGAAAGAGGCGGCCATCATCCCGAAGGAGAAGATTATCAAGGTGCCTACAGACCAAGAAGACTTGTGACTTAAGAATTGAACTTCAATTTAAGACATGAATAATTGACATAACATATTACGATGAGATCACATATGAGCAACTGACATGCATGTTCTACGCAGCAGACAAGCAATAAAAGAAAATCAACCTTCATTTGGATTGAACGTGTATAGTGTTAAGAGTGACAATAGAAACAAGAGGAGATCACTCTCCATTTATATAGTACAACACATATACCCAAAAATGCCACTCTCAGTCTAATGAATTTGAACTGATACCTACATGTGAAAAACTAGTAATGCAAGATAGAACACAAGTTGTGAGGGGGATGGGGATCGTCTAGGTTGGGGTTCAAAATCCAGGCCAAGTTAAGACCCCCAATAGGAGCACACAAAGAAAAACAAATAGACATTAGCACTACACTAACTGTAAAAGATCAAATCTTCTATTTCGTCTTAAATTTCCTACCATTGGGGTCTAAGGATCTTATTGAGAACCTGCTCATGATATGTAATAGAGCTTAATATCACAATTCACGATATTTGTGAAGTGATAGGGTCATTCTTACTGTGATCCCCCTCTTCAATATATATATATATTATATAAGAATAAAATTAGACAATATCATATACAGCAGCAAAGGCATCACTGTCCATTCTCCAAATCAATGAATAATCACCTGTCTCCAATTCCCAATATATATGTGATGACTGAGTAGCCAGCACAGCTTTTTATGAATGTTTCCAGACAGGTGGCTGTAATCCCAAATGGTCCATCCTCATCAGGGTGGAACTTCTGCAGATAACTTATAATACTACGGTGTTCTGAGAGAATCTGGATACAAAAAACAATCAAATTTATTAACCCAATAGTAAGAAGGTATGCGTCACAAGCCACAAGATAGAGAGTGCTAAAAGAAACAACAAGCAACTCCACGCCAATTGAGTTAGCTATCCAATAGGTCGATCAGTTAACGTCAGTGTAACAGCAATGCTCAATTATCAATATGACCTTTGCAAAGAGTAACTGTAAGTTGTACAACAATAGGCTATCAAGAAAGCATTCATATGATATAATACCTGTGCTAAAGAACTAGATGGTATGAATTCCAGCATGCCTTCATCGTGTCCAGTTGCTAGTACTCTGTATGGAGTTAAGTGTAGATCAAGATTCTCCAATTTAAGCAATCGATCCATAAGTGATACCATTTGAACAACCTACAAGAACTACATATCAGTATCACACCAGAATATCAACCCCCCCAAACAAAAACAAAAAAAGGAAAAAAAAAAAAACTTTTGCATGTTTGATTGTGTGAGAGCAAAAGAGACGGAGAGAGAAAAGAACACTACTTTTATGACACAAACAAATTTACAGGTCTCCTAAATATTTTATAAATGCAAAAGCAAATGTTAGGCATTTACCAACTGGTCTTGCCGAATATCATCTCCTTTCTTAAAAATGATCTTGCAACTTCCTCCAATTGCTGTTCGAAAAGTCAGACGCAAAGGATGCAGTGCACTTTTAAATATTGACGATTCTGATGGAACAATCCCAGCGATGAGGATGCCTGGTGCCAGAGGTGATCTTATTGGCTGAAATGTAGATCAAAATGTTTAAAATTATGAATAGTCAAATCCAATAAGTAATATATGGGACGTAGTCTGAAAATGATCAGATGCAGTAAAAACATGTCAAATAAACATAATTTGAGCTAATAACGTGATCCGTGAACTTTATCTAACAGAATTACCTCTTCAAAGTAGGTAAGCTCACTTAGAAGGCCAGAAAGAAGCTGTCTAAGCTTTTCAATCTTCTTCTGGGTTCCGCCCCGTACATTTCTTACATCCTTCATTACAGAACACAGCTGAGCAGTCAGTTCTGTCTGGCGCACCAAACTCTGCCACAACTTAAATCCATCTTCATTTCCAGTCACACCAGCTCCCAACTGCTAAAAAGTAGACCCAAGCATTCATGATTGACATAGAGGAGTTCAAGTCCAACTTATTTTGCTCTATATACCCAAAAGGATTAAACTGGAAAAAAAATATAAAATTTCATGTAGCCACAATCTTAAAAGACCATGAGTTTTTTTGGGAATGTTTCAAAATCAGTGGTGCAATAGTAACCCCCTTTATTCACAAGCTATTCCAAAACACCAAGGGCCCATTTGGTTCAGTTTTCTATTGTTTTCCATATTTCGAAAATGAAAAGCAGAAAACAGTTCAAAGATTAGTTTGGTTATCAATGTTCTTCAAATTGTATTCTGAAAAGACAAGCAGAGAACTGCCTTTTGAAGTTCTGTGGGAACTATTTTTTGTTTTCAGACAGTTCTGTTTTCATAGAATTGAATCAAACAAGCCCCAAGCCTCTCATAAACTACTGTAGATTATAAATTGGTGTTTGAAGTTTTGCTCATACGTATGCAGTGGAACTTGCGAATGCAGTCCACACTTAGGATTAACCTCCGAATTGATTCTGAGAAGGAAAAAGGTACAATGAGGGCAATCTCACTGAGCCATGCCCTCGTCGCCATAGGATCACAAGGTTGTGCAATCATCCTTCCAATTCAACGAAGATGAGAGCATGGTTGGTGAATATGCCCTCATGATACAATTACTCTTCCTAGAATAGCACTTTATGATCTAGAAACAAAATTGACATTGCTCGAAACAATTAGAAGTTTCAATATTTCTCACTACCAAAAGAAGAGAGGGTTTCTTGCTATTATCTAAAGCAAAAAAGAGACATACTATTATAATCCTAGTATATGTCTCCCATCATAAGAAATGCAAAATCAAGTAATCTAATAATGCAGAAATGGAAAATGGGGATGCCATACCTTCATCATATTTTCTTCCAGAATCTCATAGGTACAGTAAAAACGTTTTGCATATGTAGGATCATGAAGTTCCACCGCAACATACCACCGGAGAAAACTAGCCAACTCAATATTACGTAATGCTGCAAAAGTTTAAGGACACTTTCAGATGGCATCAGGAAGTTAGTTTCAAAATACCATAACATTTGGCACTGGAAATTTTTTATATGTACTGTAGCATCCATACAGCGTTGCACGAGGAAATGAGAAAGGCGAGATTTATCAGAGCGCTCAAACCGGAGAGCTTGAACTAGTTGAAGTAGGTAACATTGGAGCTCTTCATCATCAGCTCTTTCAAGAACACTGACAGCATATGCACGAACCTGTTAAGGGACAATGATTGTTTATATTTTAGTTCAGAACAATATACACAATTTATCCACATCATCGAATATGTACTGCAAGCAGTATCAGTATAAACATAAACATGTCAAACGAACACCAACATGTAGAGATGCCACCACTCGAAGACATTAAGTTTCACTCCTATGTAAGTATGAAACTACCACTGATAACTACAAATATGAAAAAAGAAACATTTACATATATCATATTTTAAATGCACTTGTCACTTAATCCACAAAATCTCCCTCTGTGGTATCAAGTGCTTTAGTTATTGCATGGGTCCTCAAGGAATAAATGGATGACAGGGATGGAGATATATAGAGTCCACTGGGGGCAGTGCTCCCACCAAATTTTTATTGTGATTATATATATAACTTTTAATAACTCTAATAGTGGCTCCCCTGAAAATTCTTAAAACACTATATTGTATACCATATTTTGCCCTTCTTCTTTTCTCACTTTTCTTCTCCTTTTTCTTATAGTCCTTTTACTTTATTTCTCTCCCCCGACTCTACATCTTCTCTGTGAACCCGAATAAGTCTCTCTAGTATGAGCCATCGAACTGTTTCTTTTACTCTCAATCTCTTTTTAAAGACCCATGAATAGGAAGACTTCTAGAAGCTCATTTTTAGTTGATTTCTTGAGCTTAAACTGGTACCCAAGAACTCTAATCCCACTTTTTCAGGTAACCTTGTTCTTTACCACAAAATAGCAATTTCATTTTAATAAAATTCAAAAAGAAAAGGTGCAAAGCTGCAAAATTAGAAGCTTTTGGTTTTAAAAAGTATATACGTTAGGCTTCATATGATTGTGTTGAATTTTATACTCAAAAAAATAGACATAATATGTGGTAGAGAAGGTGTATTCCAATCAAGAACAAACATCATCAGTACCTTTCAGTTATTGGTTATCTGAGTTATCTCAAGGTGCTAGATGTTGCAATCATCTTCTTTTCATTTTTGAACACTTGCTAATAAGTAGATCAACACCATTAGTTGTCCAAGAATCTAAGCTACCAATAGAACCACTTGCACTAAGATGAGAAATTGGGAATGTAAAAAGAAAAAGTTAAAAGATATTCATCATGGAAGTTAGAGAACCTGTTCTTATATAATGGTAAAATATGAGACATGATAAAGTTGCCTAATCAAATAAGATGAAGGTACATTGTCTCGGAAAAATAAATATAAAAAACTACAAAGTATCTCAAGATAGTTTACTGCTCCATAAACTCGTACAGGTTTCAAAATCAAAACCACTACATGGCTCTGCAGAGGACTCTATGATCCCCACCTTATAAGGAAGTTTATACAAGGGAGGTGTACTCACAAGCAAAAAACGGAGTTATGTACTATCACTATTTGAGTAACCTTAGGCCATCAACAACGACCAATAGAAAGAGCCAAGATTCAAGACCTCCAATAATGGGCTTCAACTGTTATTTGAAGCATTTGAAAAAATAAAATAAAAAAATTAACTGTGTAATTTTTCTCTCAGATGGAATTTAACTGTTTAATTTAGAAATGATATAGTTCTTTCCATTCAAGGATTTAGAACAGAATAGCACATTACCACTATTCTTGTAGAGCCCTTGCATCTTCGCACTAAAGTAGTTCAGAGGATTTCATTGTGCCTATCTTTAAAAACAACCTTTTTTCATCTAACCTTCACTGCTCTTCATGCACAACCTCTGCTAAGTATGTTACCTAGCTGATATCACATGTGCAGTTCTGATATTTACTTGATATGACATGTCAATTCCAAAAAGGATGAAAATGGAAATGAACACATTTGTGAAACAGATGAAATGCACTCGGTGGAGCTAAAATGAGAGAATCAATCAACATTGTTTGGCCATCAATGAAAACCAACAATTAAACCATTGAAGAAGAGCAATATATTCCACATTGAGAACAATATCGGGGGAAGAGAAGACCAAAACTCACAAGCGTTGAGAATTGAGATAATAAAGAACGATAAGTTATCATGTAATTTGTCGAACGCTGTGTCGTTAGCTAGAGCAAATTTCATGTAACCAGTTCCACATAATTGATAAAAACTATGTTGAGTTGAACTGAGTTATTACAATTCAATTCCATCCTTATAATGAAGATAAACAGCCAAACACAAACGCACATAGGTATGTGTACTACTGACCTCTTCACTTTCAAAAACAGGAGACAGAAGCTCTAATGCATCACAAACATCAATCATTTCCCACCTAGCCATCAGTTCCAATGCCTGCTTCGCTTCCTGTAAATTCATGCCAATAAACCAAGGTTTAATAAGGCACCCCATAATCTAAGGACATGTTTAAAAGTTTTCATAGGTGAAAGTGTGACGTCCAGTCCCACATCTCCGCTGGGTGTGGAAAATTGTTGGCACTACTAATAGGAATGCCTGTCAGGACCTGCCTCACATTGTGTAGATTGTCCGCTTTGCACCCTCTTAGCGCTCACGATTTTAAAACGCATCTACGCAGGTAGGAGGCATCCCCCCTTATAATTGTCAACAACTTCTACAACACAGGTGATGTGGGAAGTGATAGAATAAGTTGTTAATCATATCAAAAAAAGACTTAGGAGAAAAGATAACCATATCAGAATAGAGGTACAAACAATAAAAATCAATAAATAAATAAAGAGATTTTATTTGATCAAAGGTCCAATTGATCAGCATGTCTGTATTGTAAATATGCAGTAACGAATAATTCATCCAAAGTAATAGGAATTAGACCTAACATGATTCCAAATAGAAAAACTTCACTCGCTTCAATTTGTTTGAACAAGGAAAAATAAGAGGCCCGTTCCAAATATTAATCCAAATTGCCGTGAATCTCGATAACCAAGAATTTACAATTGTCGTTGAAAATTTGCAAGTTATATTTGTAAATAAAAGATGTTGACATAGTTAAGCTTGTATAACCATAAGCATATATAATTATGTTACTAATTAATTTACTAATTTGGAAGCGAGGAGGTAATTAAAGAGGAAGAAATTAACTTGCATTAAGGGAGGAGCGCCCAAAACTCATCATCTCAACTAATTAATTAATAAGGGATCAATAACATTAAAAACGAATAAAACTTGAAGAAGAAAGATGCAATACTTATAAAAATTTAGCCCATGGGGGAAAATTACAATGAAGAAGGAAGAAGAGGGGGAAAAAAAACATCAAACCTGAACATCACTCCATTCCACACATCGGAGAAATTTTGTGAGAGCCCTCTTCTCCGACATCAATGAAAAACGAAATTTCCACAAGAGCTGCCTCTCTTCTCCACTCAAAGTCCTTGTTGGGGGGTATTTTAATATTCTCTGTATGGACCTAGAATCCAAAGAATAGGCATAATGATGTAGCTTCGAGACTCCACGAGAGAGAGAGAGAGAGAGAATCATGGAACACAATAATAATTACAGTAATGCTGAAAAATACGACATTAACTGAATCCAAATAACATAGTAAGAAGAAGAATATTTTTTCATTATGGTACTGATAAATAACATAGTAAGAAGAAGAAGAAAGACACAACAAACTTATTACTTATGGTACTGATAAGAAGAATAATTCAGCCACTACATTATGAGAGAGAGAGTATTTTTTACAGCTTGAACTCTTGATCTAGTTATATCGCGGGGAGATTCTGCAGAACATAGCCTCAACCCTTTATTCAGTGATACATGGTATGTGTATTTGACACTGGATTATTTGGATTCTTCCCTTGCCAGACAGTACTCTTTTCCCAAGGTTGTACTAGATAGTTTCTGGAATCTGAAATAAGTAAAAATCTACTTAATATGGAATAATGGAAATACTACGAAGACCTCACAGGATTCTATATGATGCATTCTGCAACCTTTCTGGATCCCATCCTAGACATCTAATACCATGTTTTACAGATTTGGCAGTAGATTGGCCCAGTTGGGTTCCTCAAACACCCAATATAATGGGAGACCCAATCGATCAAGAATTTATCACAAATTTAAACATGGTAATGTCTTCTTTATAATAAAATTTAGACCTGACACGACACATTTTGAGATTTTTTTTGTTCTAGACCCGGATGGCAAATATTTTGACCTGGATGGCAAACAAAATATTCTGTCCTACCTAGACCCAACCCACCAACTTGCATTTAATCAAACAAAAAAAGAAATTACAGAAAATATTAATAAAGGCACAAGAATTATAAATATGATGTCTTACAATATTTTAAACATTAAAAATCAATCTAAGGATTGAATTCAGATGAAATCTAAGGACCAACTAACCAAATGCAAATTTCTTTCTCCCAAACAGGTTAAGCAGGTAACTTTTCAAGCTCCAACACAACCACACATCTCAAAGAAAACCATTTATATAGGTTAAATCGCATAAAACCCCCTTGAACTATCACCCGTTTGCAACTAACCCCCCCGAACTATCTCAATGCAGTCTATTAATTCCTTGTTTGGTAAATCAGTTACCAAACTTGTTTATTTCACGTTAACTATCCAAACCAACCCTAATCTGTTACAGCTTGGATGAACACTCGGCTATCTCTCTCTCTCTCTCTCTCTCTCTCACACACACACACACAAGCATCCCGTCTCTATCTCTCTCTTTTATCTCTCACTCTATCTCAAACCTCAATTCAGACCCTTCTCCATGAAGCTCTCTTCACAACCATTCACTACCACTTTGACACCATACCCACTTCAGTACGAAATAATCATCTCTCTACCAACTTAGTTCTCTCTACCCCAAACATGCTGCCAACCCCAACAAATCACTCACTCTAAACCCATTGATTCACCTGAGTCAGAACCAGATTCAGAATTGGCGTTAGATGATTGGATCGATAGAAAGCTAACATCACCAAATTTGGAAACCGAAAAAGGCAACCCATCTTCGATAATTTAGAGATGGATAAGTCGAAAAGAAAGCATTACAATAAGAGGAGGAAGATAATGGATGGGTCAGATTCCGATGATGACAGTAATCATTTTCTTGGGTTTGTTTTCTTCTTTTCAGCATCTTCCACAGCCTGGGCACCAAGACCAAATTGCAAGCTCCAAATGAGCGATTGAGATACCTCTGCTTCATATTTTCTCTCTCTCCACTATCTCCATCTTCTCTCTCTCGATCTCAATCCTCTAGCTGATAAACCCACTTGTAAATCACAGAATTCGGCATACCATACATACCCGATTTCAATTTGAAGCCCTCTCTTAATAGTCCTTGGGATTGCATTCACAAGTATCCGGTGCATATATGCAACATATATATATATATATATATATATCAGCATATATATAATTTCATTAAGGTTCGTTCCTATAAAGAAGGGAACAGTAAAATAGGGTTAAATACAGCTTAACCCATTAGATAAAGGCCACAGAGGGCAGAAATGTCTTTTTTTAAAAACATGTTGGTCATGTGACTTCTTCATACATTTTGCCGTTAGTAGTGCGCGGAAAGGTAACGACGTAGGGTGATTTGTAAAAATCGGGATAGTTTAGAGGGGTTAAGTGTCTAATTAGAAGATTGGGGGGGGGGGGGGGGAGTGGTTCTTGGGAGAGAGAGGATAGTTCCGGGGGGTTTTGTGCAATTTACCCTTTTATATATGTGTATCTTCATATAAATATGTGTATGCATATTGCATATACGTGAATACATGGTTAGAAAACTTTAAACTAGTTGGCCTATGCACAACACAGAATAATGTAACAAAGAAAAATCCCACAAGTTTTGGTTTCGCATAAAGAAAAGCTATGTTACATGGACTATTCAAAAATAGGTGAAGTACCCATGTCAAACACACAGTATTCAAACATGGGTACGGGATATGTGTCTTTGGTCAGACATGCACCTAGAAAGCATAACCAATACTTCAATTTTGGTATATCATTACTTCAAACAAAGTGAAATGCCCATACTAAACACTAGGTAACATAAAGACATTATTTTACTCTCTGAAATAAAATAGAAATATCAGATAATATAAATATTTGGCAATGCCATTTTTCCCAGAAATTTATTTGGCAATGTCATTGTGTCCTGTTTGGAAATTTGACATGTTCTGACACTCAGATACATACCCGCACCCAACACCCAACACATGTCCTGTTTGGAAAACCCTAACAGTTTCCTGTTGTTAATTCATTTTTCCTTTTATGCTATCCAAATTCATCATTGCAACTGTAAATGCTACAAAACGCACTTGCAATTGGAATTGGTTACAAGCAGCACAACTCTTGTCATGAGTGAGACACACTAATATAAGGAGAATGTGAAGAAAAATAAATTTTGAATTTCAACAAAGATAGTTCAAGAACATATTATTTAGTCTTTCATAAATGAATTTTAGGCTTACTTTCTTTCAGTAGAGCTTGGTTTAAGATCCCTGTCAATGATGCCACGAGTTAGACTCCTTGCAAGCTTTAGTTGCTTGTGCTCAGAGGGATTAATCTTTCCTACTTCTGGGTCCCAGACAGTAACCAGTTCATTGGTTGCAGCTATAGGAGACGGTATAAAGAAGTTTGCTCCTGATTCCTATATGCCACAACGTAAAACATCTGGATTAGCATAATAAAAAAAAATTATTTCTGCTAAAGTATACATGAAAGCATAGTGAAAGATTTCATCCCAGATGTAATTAAAATGGACATGCTGCTACAATACCCCAAGGTGCCATAACTAAATCAAGAGAGCAGAAGATTTACAAAGGAATGCCTACATATACCATGCTGCTTAGACAATCGAAGATGTTCTCATCTGCACTGCCACAATGATTGCATCTAATAATAGAACTCAATCCTACTTAACGCATTTGGCCATAATATCTTTTTTAATTATTAGTGGCTCTGCTGTCATACGGTAACAGGGAAGAAAAAATCTTTATGGAGAAAACATCAGCTTCAAGAGGTAAATGATCTTCCAATATTAGGTCACAGATGCACACAATAGACCTGGCATTAGAACCACCAACAATCTAAAATTGCAAAATAAGAATGGATTCAGATACCACCAATGGAGGGAAGGGAAGGGAGCATTCTTATTACATAGCATCCATTGACAGCATGTAAAACAATCTATGTAGATGTTAACTTATTTTTTGCCAAGGACTACACGTTAAAACAGAGAAATCATGACAAAACATCAGTAAACAAATTGCAAAGTGAGCAGTACTGCATAACCAGAATTCAGAAAACAAGTGAACACAATTTTATTTTATTTTTATTTTTTATACGTAGAAAGATGTGAACATGTGATTAATGTGTTTTGAAACATTGGAAAATAGTCCAACTTTGAGGCAACATTCACAAGTATGCTTCTATGCATTTTTTTATATATAAATAAAACAAGTATGTTTGTACACATAAATGGTGCTGAAGATAACAGGGCTTACAAACTAAGGGGAAAAGAAATTAATATAGTGTTGACACCTTTCTGTACATCAACATTGTAAAAACTTGTCTAGGCAAACTGAATAGTAGTATATTTGCCATTAACACAGAACATCGGTACACCAAAAGTTGGGTTACACAAAACATCAGTACACCACGAGTTGGGGCATGTGCACAAGCATTCACACATATCAAAAAGTATTAGTTATGATGGCAATCCTAATTTTAAACATGCAAATATTCAAGGTCCAGCACTGCATTAACAGGACTAACACTGCCTTTTCTGGAACATTCAAACACCAAATCTGTAAACGCACTAGCAAAAACTAGAAAAAACAGGCACAGATGGCCCTCGTTGCATTTCTTGTATGTCTCTAAGCCAACTTCTGTCAAGTCAACATAGATAATTTACCAAAAAGTATTGGAAAAGAACCACTACATTATTTTCGTTAAAACAAGAAAATGAAAGGAAAAAGAGTAAAAAATAAAATTACAGCATTTTCAAGAAAAAATAAGCATTTGCTCGCATAAGTGCAAGCTAATGAAAAACAGCAACAAGAACAAACTGGTACAACTTGTAGAGATTCAACCAGAAAAAGGAAAAATAAAATAAAATCTAATGTAGACTAACAAATGCTACCTGGAAAACAACTCGGTGTTCGAAACTGCAAAAATCAACCACCAGGTATAAATGAGAACTTCCATTTCTACCACTTTCCCGTTCCTTGATTTTCTCCATAGCTTTAAATGCAAGGCGGTCCAGCCAATCAACTCGTTGGATCTGTCCTCTTTCGTACTTATTCACTAGCTTTTCCAAGCGTTCCACCTCCCCGCGCTCTTCCTTGGGAACCTATAGATAATTAAACCATGATGAGCATCTGAACATATTCTAATCATCAAACCATTTGAAAACAATAAGCAGAAACCATGAAAATTCAAACTATTATCCCTCACAAGAGTATTAAACAGAAACCTTTCCAGGAGTAGTTGTATGGATAGATCCATCTGCCTCTTTCCCTGGCCAAAGTCTAAGCTTGTGCTTCCCAGTTTTCAATTGTTTTTTCATGTTAAATAGATGAATGGTACCCCCACCAATCAAACCCTCGATTTTTCCACATGAAACATCCCAAACCTGTAGTTCCAAGAACATCACCAGTAACAATTACAATAAATAATAGCTGTCCAAATTTCACAATACGAGGGGAACTTTCTCCAGTGCCACCTATATGACAAATTTCTCAACCATGAATCAAAACATAAGGATGAGCAATGGCCAATGAGTAGACTAAAGGAATTATATATATATATATATATATATAAAAACTATAACTATGACATTTTTAGTTGATATCAAAGGATGTCAACTTCATAACCAAAAATTAATAAATAAATAAATTTTTATCATGCAGGAGAATTTGTAGGAACACCTCAATAGACATTATAAACATAGTTGAAAAATATTATTACAATAGGTAACAACATACTTCTATGTGGAGGAGGGGAGAACTTCCTCATACTATGGTCGATGATTTGACATTTCAACAACAATTTGATTTGACCTCCCAAAAATCTTAACATAGACGTCAAATACACTATTTCTTCCAGATTATAAACTCAAAATATAAAACCAATCCCTCCGGTTTGTTGGGATGCTATATAAAGGGAAGAGATAGGATATGGGAAATACAAAGATATTGATGCATCTAACTTGGAAAAGTAAGTTGGAAAATTATCAAGGACCAATAATAATAGGGAAAATATTGTATGAAGAAAATACATGAGAAATACTGATATGGAAGTACTAAATACCCCTCTATTGCCAAGTTGTGGAAAAGGTAAAATTAAGCATAGAAACATCATTAAGAAACATCAATACGTTAGTTAAGTTAATTTTTCCTTTTCACATTCTCATAAGTGGGCCCTTGGAAACATCCCCAGCCACTTGAAATTTAGCATGGCTGGGAATTGGAAATTAGTATAATTCACTACTCAGGACCTTACATGAAAGAACTTTGAGTTTGGTCATAGAATAAAAGATAATATAGTGCCAAATATTCTGGCCATCATGATTCCCTCTTAATGGTGCTGAGGAACATAATAAAGAAAAAGTCACTAAATCAGCTTCCAACAGGAGGTTTTACATCAAATCAGCTACTCATGAAATGTAAAGGAAGCTGCATAACTAGTCAAATTGAACGGAACAATCATCCAAAATGAAATTTTATTTCCTGTGCACGTCAAATATTAAACTAGCCTAGTTATCAGAGTGATGAGAAATTTGCCACTTCTCTAAGATTGTAGTTCTACCAGTATATAATAATGCATCAAAACTGTTGTCGCATTCTTGGAGATAATAATATCTCCTTCATAAATGGGAGACAATCAAAAGGATAATTTATTGTATGATAAGGTTCATAGAATGTCAGAATTGATATTACAAAGTAATTTTCTCTAAGTAGAAGACAAATCCTCTCCTCAGATCGAAAAACTTCTGTGCATAATATATGGAGCTAAGGACTCAAACGAAATTAAAATACTCAAATGCAAGTAGGTTTTGATCAATCTTCAAATAATGGGACTACGGAAATGAAGGAAATGCATAAGATGGCATCATTTCTTTTACTCTCTCAATGGAAATTAAAATCTATTTCTAGGTTGAATCTCATCTAACTGGTTATAGAATTTCATTGGGATTTTTGCATGATTGAAGATACTCAAGGAAATTCCTCATTTGCTACTGCATCAATAATAGGATTCTTCAATCACTATGGACCAACATAAAACGCTCAAGTCTTTGTGATGGATAACCTTTAACTCCATAATGCGCCGTCAAAAACTTCCATATTGTCAAATTCTTGGCAACAATAAGGTATAAGTACTGCTATTTGCTAAAATCCTTCAAGATGATGCTTATTGGGTGGACTTCACGACCTCACTAGATTTTAAAATTAAAAAATTTTCCATCGAAATCGCATATTATAAATTAACTGATGAAAGTAGAATAAAAGGAACATATGAACTGAAGTTGCTGACTTACTGTGAATGCAAGTTGTGAGTTGGCAGTTAAGTCCCGATACTTTGTACTCAATGTAATGAGTTCATTCCAGCAATAAGACGAACCCGTGAACTCTAGCCTGGTACGGAAAATTTTGTTATCATAAATATCATATTAATCGTATAAAATAAAAATCAATTGAAAAAAAAAAAAAAAAAAGCCATAAGAAGAAAAAAGACATTTATATCACAACACTTCAAGAGAATTGTTTTCAATCTACATGAGATATTTTGCCGAATCAGTTTGAAATGACCCAAGAAATTAGTACACGAATATCAAAGTCAAGATAAGAAGAAAACAGTTACATATAGACATACATGAAATATATAATGTATCTCATGGGACCAATCAAACTGACATGGGACTACACAATGAGAGATCAGATGCTTAAACCTTGTTCTGATGGGAAGCCCAAACGGAGCACCATCAATGTACAATGTACACTCAACATATAGCTCCGGTCTTCTCACCTCCGCAGTAGAATCAACTTCTGTTGAGCAATTGAATACACCACATTAGTAATCATAAAAAACAACAAACTCCATGAATTGCAACATCATTCAGAGATAAATAATGATTCATAATTTCATAGTAACACTCTGCTCAAACCCTAAACTACTCTATATTATCTGAAAAAATCGGAATTCGAAACAATTTCGAATCGGAAAGATATAAATAAGAAATTACCTGAATCAAGGGTCTTAGCTGCTGGCAAGTTCCCTTCCAATCTCTCGACTCGGAAGGTGACTGGAAGATTGATGTCGCATGACAAGAAGAATCGAAATTCGTTTCCACTCATCTTCTTTTTATGGTTCAAAATCTAGGTCTTCTCATAATTAGGGTTTTGAAAATGAATTTGAGAAACGAGATTGTTTCTGTGACGAACGACTATGGTGTAGAACGAACTCAAAGGGGAAAGAGAGAGAGCATATATATGCGTAGAAGTGGAATTTGAATTCTTCGAGTTGGAAGGATGTGATTTTCTTCAAATCCGCAATTTGGAAGACGATCGTTTCGCGGTGACACGGTATCTGCTTCAAGTTTTGGGAAAAAAGAAAATTTTGGAGTTTTGTAAACTGTTTGTGTTCTGAAAGTATACATAACTCACCGGAAAATAATAAGTTGGTCAGATAGAATTAACGATAAAAGAAAAGAAATAGAAAATTTTAAAATTTTTTATTTCTAATTCGGCCAGATAGAAAAGGAAAAGTTCTATAGGGTTCTTGCAACCCTTTATTCTTGTAATAATTTATTTTTTTCATAATATTTCTTTTAAAAAACACGGAGAAATTTTCCCGTCAAAACATGTTTTTTTATTTAGTGTTCTAATTTTACCCAACAACTTCATTGATATTATTTTAACCAACAATTTCATTTTATATTTAGAAACAACAATAATATTTTACTAAGTTTCAAAGAATTGAAGTTTACTAACAACTTTATCATTAATAAATTTTTAATTAACTTGACTTCTATTCCTAGTTATTTTTCATCATATATGTTAATAGTAATTTAAAAGGTCAAATTAATTGAAAACTTTATCATTTTTATATATATATATATATATATATATATATATATATATATATATATATTATTATTACTAATTTTTTATTATTTTATAAAATAAGGGTAATTTAGGTATCCAAACTATGATATGATATCAAATATATGCAAGAAAATTACTTTTCTTTTTATTTTTCATTTCTTTTCCTTTCTTGCTATTTCCATCTAACCAAACGGAGCCAGAAATTTCATACTAACCAAATATATGCTAGAAAATCACTTTCTTTTCATTTACTTCACTTTTCTTTTTATTTCTTTTCCTTTTTTACTATTTCCATCTAACCAAACGGAGCCAGAAAATCTTGTGTTTTACATATCCATACAATTGAGGCCTTGAATTTTTTAAATAGAGAAAGTTCTTTGAATCATTGTTATTTGATTTGGACATGTTCTAAAAAAATGTATTTCGAATTGTTTGGTGACAACTTGATATACAAACAATTAATGTGCTATGTACAACTTGAGTATATCCAAAATTGCTGTGATATAAAGTGTGGCCTAAAAGTGTTCAAACACTTCAAATCGGAAATTTTGTCCCAGATGGATATATATTTTTTTTTTCTTGGGTAAAGTGGAAATTTTCTATATATATAACAAAAATTACATATCATCAAGAAGGCATTCCTTGGAAACAAGTTGTCCAAAGACAAACCAGAGAATAAAACACATTTTAATCAAAAGGTACAAGTAGGTCATGTATATAGAGACTCGGAGCACAGCTCTCCCATCTCCATCTCAGACAGCAGTAGGACCTCTCCACAGATAGCTCTAGCAATCTCCATAGCACTTCTTCGAACCTCCTGATGTAATATCATATTTCTCTCATTCCACACATACCAAATAATTGTTGCACAAATACGTTTTTGGGCCTTACGTTTAATCCCTTTGGTGACAAACCATCCAACCATGTGGGGATGGTTTTTTTGGTAATGCTTATTGTTTGCACCACTGCTTGCTCATTCTATTGTTTTGTTGATCCCATTGGGACATTGTTACATCTACGTAACACAGAACGAGAGCGTAACACATAGCAGAGCACAAAAGTGACAAAATTTGAAGTCACACAGAGTAAGTGCATTTCCGGTTAATGCTTATTGTTTGCACCACTGTTGCTCTTTGGCTGTTGATGTCCTGGTTTGCTTGCTATTTCTGGAATATGGTTGTCTTCTAGCATTTTTTTCGTTTTCTTTTTCTGTGCTTGCCTGGCAGCTATTTGCCCAGGGCTTGCTTAACTCGGGAGTTGGGGGTATGCCTCCTTATTGATGTTCTATCAGAAGAAAATGAGAATGTCTTAGCAATCAAAACTCCAAAAAAAAAAATAATAATAAATAAATAAAAGATCTTTATTCTTTAATTTAATGGGAGATTGTTTTCTTCATCAAGGACTGTGACAAGTCCATAAACAGGACACAAACAAACTTGATAAATTACAAACAAAATCACATGGAGTCCCTTTTAACTTGATCTCTAGACGCATGCTTGGAGTTCACAGGGCATGGTCACATAGAAGCACCCAATAACAGACGCTATTATGGTCGTCGAGGAAATTTTGAGAAATCAGGACGTCTACGCTGCATGTATGCTGTCTTCCCTTGGTCAGCTTCCTCAGTTCCATAAAATATGAGTGTGGCATTCCCTCCAAGTTCCTGCATGCAGAACAAAAAATGGAACTAATTTGAGGATATGTACATAGCTAAATGGATATCTGTATATATACATGTTGAAAAGGAAAGATTCGGTAGTAATACTACTAAATATTATTTGCTGTAAATAGAATATTGGTCAAATGCTGTAAATTAAGAAATTATTAATTAGGTCAGCTAGTTATGTGCGTGTATTCTCTCCTATAAAGAGAACCCGCGTAAACTTGTGAATTGTGTGTTAATACAGAGAAAAGGTTTATTACATATTTCTTTCATTTCAAGTTTATATGGTATCAGAGCCACCCTAAGGAAAGGAAAAAAAAAAAAAAATCCTAATTTTCTTTTCTGCACAATTTCTTTGCTGATCAGCCATGTCTGATGTTTCTTCCATGTCAACCTCGCCTATCACAACCCAGTCAACCAATCCGACAACCCAAGCCCCCAGTACCAATTCTCACTCGGTTCAGATCACCAATATTCGCCTTAATGATGACAATTATTTACTGTGGTCCCAGTCCGTTCGGATGTACATCAGAGGGTGGGGAAAGATCGGGTACCTGACGGAAGACAAGAAGGCACCAGCATCGGAGGACCCAACGTACGTGACCTGGGATGCAGAAAATTCAATGGTGATGACTTGGCTTGTGAACTCCATGGACGAGGATATTAGCTCCAACTATATGTGCTACTCCACAGCCAAGGAACTCTGGGACAACGTGAATCAGATGTACTCTGATTTGGGAAATCAATCTCAGATCTACGAATTGACTCTAAAACTTGGTGAGATTCGGCAAGGAGAAGATTCGATCACCAAGTATTTCAATTCATTGAAGAGCCTTTGGCAGGACATGGATCTGTTCAATAATTATGAATAGAAATCCACTAAAGATGCCAATCGCTACAAACGGACCGTGGAGGCTCATCGCATTTACAAATTCCTTGTTGGGCTCAACGTGGAATTTGATGAAGTACGAGGGCGGATCATTGGCAGGACTCTACTTCCTCCAATTGATGAAGTGTTTGCTAAGGTTCAAAGAGAAGAGAGCCGCAGACATGCAATGTTGGGAAAGAAGACTACCAGCGGACCTGTTGAGAGTTCCACCCTTATTGTTGCAGAGACTGTTGCTAATAAAGCAGTCAATTTTCAGCGAAAAACTGAAGAGAAGCCACGGGTCTGGTGCGACTTCTGCAACAATTCGCGCCATACTTGGGAGAACTGCTGGAAAATCCACGGAAAACCAGCGAATTGGAAGAGTAGCAAGCCTGGTGATAGAAATAGGTGTGCAGTTCATACTGCTAATGAAGCTAAGACAAGTCCCTTAAGCAAAGAGCAGATGGATCACCTTCTGAAGCTGCTGAAATTTAATTCCTTATCTAGTATTCCTAGTGTTTCTCTTGCACAAACAGGTAGTGCACTTAATGCCCTTTCTTGTTGTTTAAATTATACTCCATGGATCATCGATTCTGGAGCCTCTGATCATATGACCAGCCTTTCCAATCTTTTTAGCACTTACTCACCATGTTTTAGCCTTAAAAAAAGTTAGAATTGCAGATGGTAGTTTCTCACCTATTGCAGGAAAAGGTTTGATAAAATTATCCGAGAATATAGATCTTAAATCTGTTCTCCATGTCCCTAAACTAGCCTGTAACATTTTGTCTGTGAGTGAACTAACCAAAGAATCTAATTGTCGTGTAATTTTCTGTGATTCTTACTGTGAATTTCAGGACCGGAGCTCGGGGAAGAAGATTGACAATGCTAAGATAATAGATGGACTTTACTACTTCGATGGGGACTTCTCCAATAATAAAAAGGCTCAGGACCTTAGTAGTGTTAGTTCTAACTCTGTTTATGAACAAATAATGTTTTGGCATTTAAAACTAGGACATCCTAGCTTTCCATACCTCAAACATTTGTTTCCTACTTTGTTTAAAGGTTTGGATTGTTCATCATTCTATTGTGAAAGTTGTTGCTTATCTAAGAGTCATCGTACTACTTATTTGCCAAAACCTTATACTTCTTCAAAACCATTTTATTTAATACATAGTGATGTTTGGGGACCTTCAAGAGTCACTACTATCTCTAGGAAAAAATGGTTTGTTACTTTTATGGATGATCACACCCGTTTATGTTAGCTTTATTTGATGAATGAAAAGTCTAATGTTGGAAAAAAATTTAAGAATTTTTACACAATGGTTGAAACTCAGTTTCAAGCAAAAATTAGCATTTTTCACACTGATAATGGAACCGAACATTTTAATGAAATTTTGGGGAATTTTTTGAAAGAAAAGGATACCATCATCAGTCTACATGTGTGGATACCCCTCAACAAAATGGAATTGCTGAAAGAAAAAATAAACATTTACTTGAAGTGGCTCGTGCTATAATGTTTTCAATGAATGTTCCAAAATATCTATGGGGCGAAGCTGTTTTAACAGCTTCGTATTTGATTAATAGAATGCTTTCACGTATTTTAAAATATAGCACGCCATTAGAATGTTTCAAAAGAATTTTTCCATTATCAAGGATATACTCGGATTTACCTCTAAAGGTTTTTGGCTACATAACTTTTGTTCATATACCCAATAATACTCTGTCCAAACTTGATCCTCGAGCTGAAAAATGTGTTTTCATAGGGTATGCTTCTAATCAAAAGGAATATAAGTGCTATAATCCCCAAACAAGAAAATTTTATGTAAGTATGGATGTCTCTTTCTTTGAAAATAAATCATACTTTCCCAAAAATTCTCTTCAGGGGGAGAATGAGGTGATGGAAGAAAATTTTTGGGATTTATCTCCTACTCCTTTACCAAATGTGATTTTGACTCCTGCACCTCATCCTACTATTATTCCTGAAATTCAAAGTCAGAAACAATGTGATAAAACCAATAAAAACAATGAAAAGAATCCTAGTCATATAGTGCCAAACATTAATGTATCTGAAACAGGGGAAGAATCACTACAACCGGGCACTAAAGTTCCCAATACTGAGCCTCTGGTTTATACTCAAAGAATACCTCATCAAAAGAATCAAAGTCAGCCTATTCCTCTTGGAAATGATCCATCTCAACCTCCGGGAACTGGACCTTCAGATATTATAGGTAATTATGTTCCTAACTCATCTTCAGTTCCTATTGTTTCTCCTAACCAAGAACCATCAGACCTTGATATTCCTATAGCTGTTAGGAAATGTATTCGAATCAAATATCCAAATCCAAAATATCTCATTGCCAAATACCTTTCTTATGAAAAACTCTCTCATACTCGTAGGGCTTTTACCTCAAAAATCTCAAACTTGTTTGTCCCGAGAAACATTCAGGAAGCTTTTGATGATCCAAATTGGAAGTTAGCAGTGATGGAAAAGATGAATGCTCTTAGAAGAAGTGGTACTTAGGAGATAATTGATTTACCTAAGGAGAAAAGAACAGTAGGCTGCAAGTGGGTCTTTACTGTGAAATGTAAAGCTGATGGTAGCATAGAGAGGTACAAGGCAAGACTAGTAGCAAAAGGGTTCACCTAGACCTATGGAATTGATTATCAGGAAACTTTTGCTCCTGTAGCCAAGATATTTTGTTATCTTTGGCTGTCAATTTCAGCTGGCTATTACACCAGTTAGATGTAAAAAATGCCTTTTTAAATAGAGATCTTGAAGAGGAGGTCTTTATGAATCCAGCACCTGGGTTTGAGGGAAAATTGGGACCTAATAAAGTCTGTAGACTGAAAAAATCTTTATATGGTCTCAAACAGTCCCCTAGAGCTTGGTTTGAGAGATTTGGGAGAGCTGTGAAGAATTGTGGCTACTGTCAGAGCCAAGCTGACCATACCATGTTCTACAAACACAGTAGAGAAGGCAATGTCGCAGTGTTAATTGTCTATATGGATGATATAGTCTTGACAGGTAATGACAATGAAGAATTGGAGAGACTGAAAAAGAGACTTGCAGCTGACTTTGAGATCAAGGATTTAGGTGCATTAAAATACTTTCTTGGAATGGAGTTTGCTAGATCCAAAGAAGGTATATTTGTTAATCAACATAAATATGTTCTTGATTTACTTAGTGAGACAGGTCTGCTAGATGTAAACCAGCCGAGACACCTATTGAGCCCAACCTTAAGTTGCAGCCTTCTAAAGATGAAGAAATTATGAATAAAGAGCAGTATCAAAGACTTGTTAGAAGACTGATCTACTTGTCACATACACGTCCAGATATAGCTTTTGCAGTCAGCATGGTTAGCCAGTTCATGCATTCACCTGGACGAGAACACTTTGATGCAGTCTACAGAATTCTCAGATACCTAAAGGGGACCTTTAGAAGAGGTCTACTGTTAAAAAACTGTGCGCATTTGCAAGTTAAAGCCTATACTGATGCGGATTGGGCTGGGAGTGCTATTGATAGACGGTCAACTTCTGGCTACTGCACCTTTGTTGGAGGTAACCTTGTCACCTGGCGGAGTAAAAAACAAAATGCAGTAGCAAGAAGCAGCGCAGAGGCCGAGTTTAGATCAGTTGCTCATGGAATTTGTGAGGTGTTATGGATTAAGAGACTATTGGATGAATTAAAGGTCTCTAATCCGTTGCCTATGAAATTGTACTATGACAATAAAGCTACTATTTCGATCGCTCACAATCCAGTGCTTCATGACAAAACAAAGCACATGGAAATAGACAAACATTTCATCAAGGAAAAGCTCGAAAAAGGATTGATCTGTATGCCGTACATTCCTAGTACCGAGCAAGTTGCAGATGTGCTTACAAAGGGACTTCCTACAAGACAGTTCGACAGACTAATTGGCAAGCTGGCTATGGAGGATATCTTCAAACCAGCTTGAGGGGGAGTGTTGAAAAGGAAAGATTCGGTAGTAATACTACCAAATATTATTTGCTATAAATAGAATATTGGTCAAATGCTGTAAATTAGGAAATTATTAATTAGGCCAGCTAATTATGTGCGTGTATTCTCTCTTATAAAGAGAACCCGTGTAAACTTGTGAATTGTGTGCTAATACAGAGAAAAGGTTTATTCCATATTTCTTTCCTTTCAAGTTTATAATACATATATGTATATATATGTAAAGAATAAGAACATAAGTCGCTATGCAACAAGTATAAAAGCGGAATCATTGCATCTAGCGACTCCAAAATTTTGCAGCCATTTGGTTATAACATATTACTGTTGATTATATTAACATGGTTGGAACTGAATATACCTGGAGTCCAGCATGCCCATCATCAACTGCATTAAGAGCTGATTTGAGCACCCGAATTGCAGTTGGGCTGTTTCTTAGAATCTCTCGACACCATTTAACTGTTTCCCGTTCTAACTTCTCTAGCTGGACAAAAGTTCAAGAGATATCATTGGTTTAAGCGTGCAACTTTGAAAGTGCAATGAATAAACAAAATGTGCACGAGCATTACTTCAACATCCAAGTCTTGAAATACAAATAAATGGAGATAGTATCCATGCATAGTTCATAAGATACGCTCATATGCAGATTACTTGCACTGACAAATAACCAATAGAGGAGGCATGGGGTGTTCAGGGGTCACAGAAAGATTGGCTATTGGCTATGTATTGTAATGAACTAAAAATGAATGAATTTTTAACTCACTGGGACAACAGTGTTGACAAGTCCCATTTTCTCTGCTTCAGAAGCGGTGTAGAATCTTGCCAGAAACCACATTTCACGAGCTTTTTTGGGCCCAACCTGTTCGAAAAATAAAAACAAGCAAACTGTTTAATGAAGAAGTCCTGTGCAAAATAATGAGAATCTTCACCTTCAGAACTTACCAAACGAGACATAATGGAACTTCCATAACCAGCGTCGAAGCTTCCAACCTGCATCATACACAGGGCAAAGCATTTAAAATTTCAGTAGAAAAAGAACATAATCAACTATGTAGTGAACCAGATTTAAAAATCTCTCAAGAATCACCACATACCTACTAAGTTTTTTTTAAGCATGTTACAATAGTACAAGAGATTGGAATACATTTATTAAACAATTAATATATTATACGCAAGTTAAAAGCACCTTTGGACCTGTCTGACCGAAAATAGCATTATCTGCTGCAATTGTTAGATCACAGACCATATGCAATACATGTCCTCCGCCAACAGCATAACCTGCAACCTTGTTTGAGAAAAGGAGAATTATACACAATCTAAGCCAAGCGAACATAACAATGAAGTAATAAAGTTGCAAAGTGGGAGCATAATAGGTTACCATTGCAATTACTGGTTTTGGAAGACGTCGTATCTGCACCTGTATGAAAGAAGAAGCAACATTTGCCTCTTAACTTTTCCACGAGTCTCCAAATATATGTGATTTTTACATCAGGTTAAATTCTCTACCTGTAGATCTAAAACATTAAGGCGGCCAAAATCTTCATAATCAGCATAACCATCTTTGCTTCTTAATTCCTGATCCCCGCCACTGCAAAATGCCTTGGTTCCCTGCAAACACATATTGTCCAACAGCATGAAATAATTACAGCCCCTTCCTGGAAAAGGGGAAATCAACATAATCCAAAGACAGGATATTATGGGAATGATTTCAAAATTACAAACTATGATATCTACTCATTTATTCTCTCAGATCAAGACTTTATAGAAACAGCAACGCAAAAGTGTGCCATAATGGTCCATAGCAAATTCATTTGAAAAAAATATAAGGAAGAGAGGAAATGATAGCTATCAAAATCTGTTAGTAGCAGCTCATGCAACAAATAAATCTATCATGCAAGCCAGGCAAGCATCCTCCTAAGCTAGGCATCCTTCCAACTCTCAATTCTTGAATTTGCACATTGAGAACAACCCCTCTCCACTCCCTCTCAGATGCTCCCACCTTTTAATGATTATGATTTTTCTTCATCCTTATGATCTTAATTATTTCTCATATTTTTTTTACTAATTGATGTGTGAATCTTTGGAGTTAGATTATTTGGTCATGGAAAAGACATTGCAATCAACAACCTTTAATCCAGCTCACAATGTTTTAATTCATAAATGCTGTCTATAAAAACATATGTAGAACTTATAAAAATGAACATAAATGCCTACATATTTTTCATGTGCTTTCAAACCTACGTTAGTATTAAAAATTGCTGCTACACTACTTTTGCTAAACACACTGTCTATATAGTGCACTGGCTTGGTATATAAAACAGTTTTGCCCCATTATTATTCCCTGTTGACAACCAGTACATGGGTAGCACGCATGAAAGGGAAGAAAATTTTGGAATACTTACAAAATTACACTTGTAGTGGAATCTGATCATCAGTTAAAGTTTCATATTATGCATAGTGCCTACATGCTGTTAACGGTACAAGCATAAGAAATTCTAATGAATCCGAATGTCTGGAAGTTAGTCCACAAACAACAATTTTATTTTATTGGTTTATTACATTATATAAGATATTGATTCAGAAAAAGGTACCTTTCCAGTAAGAATGATGACTCCCACTGAACTATCATCCCTAGCATCATTAAATGCACGGATAAGCTCCTTGACTGTATGTGGTCGGAAAGCATTTCTTCTGTCTGGCCTGTTGATCGTAATCTACAATAGAGTAAAAAATTAAAGATGATTAAACCAGACATCGATTCTTTACTTTTGGCAGCAACTAAATAATCAACAATAATTGGATAAATAGTTACAAAAATTACAACAAAGAAAAAGGTTTCAAACATCAGTAATAAGAGAAGCTCCAGCAGTCTACTATGAACAAGCAAAACGAGACATTAAGAAATGAGCAACAGATTTCTATATAGGATGTTAATAGAGAATATCAGGCTTGATAATCAGGTGATGTATGATAAATTTAAAGCTCTCCACATTTTGTTAAACCAAGATGTAAATTTGATGATGGCAGGTGTTGTGCCTAAGCTGCATCTGCATGACCACAAACTTAAAAGTACATATTTTTTGCACTTTTCATCTGAATAGCAATTGATAAATAATATAGTAAGGAGGTAAAGTTTGGCCTGATGAACAAAAATTGTGGATTTATAGGTAATGCGTTAACTGTTTGATGTGTAGGAAAGTTCTCACAATCAACGATTAGTGTGCCAGAGGCTTGTAAACACAACACCCACGTCCACTCCTTTCTGAAACCCATTTGGACAGACTTATAGTAGTCCCTCTTTCATTTTTTTAAGAATTTGAAAATCTAAATGAGAGTATCCATGTTTATGAAGGAGCTAATTACTTATTTGTTATTTACATCATTGTTCTTCTATCTATACTATTTTGGTGCAAGCACATGCGCCTTCACATAAAAAGCTATATGCCTAGTGATTTCCGAACACACTGCATGTAAAAGTGCCCTCAAGTTAAGATTCAGAGGAGTTGACTTCCGTGTTGAAATAAAACACTCTTAAATCCATGTCCACTAATTATAGCTTTTACTTCATTAATCAATCAATGGAAGGTAATGCCATTTCTAATATAATATGTTGATGCTTTTCTTCTGCCGTTTTCTTTCTCCATCTAGGGTGAGGGGCTGTATGCAATTCATAGGTATCAGCCACGGTATCAAATCACATAACTAAAGCAATGAAGCAACTAACACTAACTTTATCCTGATCAAACAATGTCATACGATTAACATTCCTGCATGTGTTACTTTACCTACTCTCCATTTATGGTGACCATAAATGCAGATTGCAATATCAAATGCACGAGGCTCTCACCATTATGGGGAGAGGGTCTCCGCATGGAGAAGCTGTTTCCAGTTTCAAACCCATTACATCCAGGTCACAATGGAGGACCCTTACATTGTGCCAAGGTCCGCCATCAAAATCTAAACACCAGGTAAAATAAAATAACTGTGTGAACGTTCTGTTTATAGACCTTTTAGTGCATTCATTCAGTAACTGTAGCTCATGCATAAACATATAGAAAACAACCATAAAACTCAACCTTGTTAGCAATTCCATTGAGCATTTGAACCATACAATACAGTTAGTAACACAGAACAACTGTACTGTGTCATAGTCTAATAACAAACCCACCACAATTAGACCCACCTGAGTACTCAATTTTCCAAAGACAAGTTCAATTGATCTGTGAATACTGACCTTCGCAATTTGTTCTCCGACTGCTTTTTCATATATAATGTCCGTAAACTCCTTCTCAGACTCGTCACAGGCAATTCTCCAAACAGGTGGGTGGCTCGGCACTTCGCCATGAACCCAATGGTATCTATCCTTCATTGAAGCGCTACAATTGCTCAACACAATCGAACCACCATGACTCGAGGTCGAATGGGTCGGAATGAGATGGCTGGTTACGGAGGCCACTCTCCTTCTCACCGTGTCAATGTCCTTCTCTGCAACACCCGCCATTGCTGAGTGAACTCTGAACTGAAAATTCACTGATATCTGTGTGAAATGGCGATTCTAGGAACTGGGTTTGGGACGTTGTGCGTCGAAATGGGTGGTGAGATTGAGACATTGCTTTTGTAGTTGGGAAGTCTGATGAGGGGTGGTTGGGATTTCGTTGTCTGATCCCGAAGATGTTGATAAGGAGATTGGGGGCACCGGGACAGCACAGTAGCTTTTTGGCCTTTTTGGACATTTTGATCTCATTAAATTAAGAAAAGTATGAAGGAATTAATAATAATAATAATAAGCTCCCTGAACTTTTTTTAATTTAATAATCATTGAATTGACGCAATGTATTGAAATGAAAAACTTTTTTTAATTCGTTATTTATGTAATAAGGGAGAGATTGTTGTAATTATGTGGTGTGATTATTATTATTTAATATAATATAATTGGTTGATAACATAACATAATATTATTACTATAATCACGGTTAGAGATCTCTAGACGAAAAAGTATACAGAAATTTATAGACACCATGTTAATTTGGTCTAATAATGATAAACTCCAATTTTATTTTATTGTTAAATAGTTTGAACTCCATTAAGTAATGCATGCTGTGATCTTATTGGTGGTTGCATATTCAGTTTCTCTTTTTATGCTACTTTATTTTTGTGAATCCCGGCTCAAATGTGCATTTGAAAAGTATTACACTAATACTCGACTCAGTCCAACAATAAATTTTTTTGTCAAGATGTTACCCATTTTATATCACAAAATGTTATTGATTAGTGATACTATTTTAATCTGATTGAGTTGGCAACAAAAATTAAACAAATATTTGTAATAAAAAAATAATAATAATAAATAAATAGAAAAGTTTATCATCATTTATAAGACTATAAAAAGTTTGTGGTCAAATATTCGGTACACAAATTTTGACTTTGAACAAAAAAAAAAGAAGGTACTTTGATTGATAGGCTTCTACCAAACCAAAACAAATAGGAAAATAATTCCCGTACTAATTACTTAAAAAGTGAATTGCGTGACTTATAAGTTTTGATTGATCAAGTATGTAAAATATAAAGAAGTGTGATCCTTCATTTTCTTATATTTGATAAAGATGACCAATCAAAACTTATAGGTCATACAATTCACTTTGAGAGTTTGGCCCAAATATCACAATTCAAACAAATATTACTAACATGACAATATTGTTTAGTCACAAAAAAGCAATTTCATCTCTTATCAATTTGGGTCCGAGATTTAATCAGTAGTCTAAGAAGTGATACAATGTATGATATTATTCGTTTTGAGTTCCAACTTGCATAATTTTATTTTTTAAATTTCATTTTAAAAGACTTCCTACAATTTTGAGACAACACTAGCAAATAAAGTACTATACCTTTATCTTCTCCGGGCATTGTGGTATATTGCACCCATAGTCTAATAGTGTCTTGTACCTGTTTACGCGCACATTCACAATTTCCTCACATACAATTATTTTCATTTCTTAGATTATTGACAAACAGTAAAATCATACAAGTTGTTACTAAATAAAAAATCGTTTGACATTGATTGATTAGAGATTAGAGACGGAGAAGGAAGACAATAGTAAAATTTTGTAATAATTTTAGTGGGGATAATAGTAAAATTTTATAAGTATATAATTGAAAAATAAAAATTTAATGGGGGTGTAATACTAAAAGTAAAAAATTCAGTGAGAGCAACGCACTGAGTTGAATGTAGGTCCGTCGTGCCTATTAGAGATGCTTATTGTTTTTATCATTATCAGTGTCTCTAAATTATAGAAAATCTAATAAGAGTTTCAAATTTTTGTAGAATATTTTTGTTTTCTTTTACAACTTTCAAGTTTATGTCACGAAGGAAATAACAAAAACGAATTTAGGACAGTTTTCCCCCATAATTAGTATTTTAATTAAATAGATTTTTATTTATTTGTATTTTTATAATTTTTAGGGAGAGTTTAATTTTTGGTAATTTCTTTATATTTTTAATTTCCTTATGTTATTAGGTTAATTTCCTTGTGTTTTTAGTTTCCTTAAAGGTTTCTCAGCTCCGCTTAAAATATTTTTCAAAAAATATTTTTGTATTTTCGTTGTTTGGTTGCTGTAAAATATTTACGAAGAAAAAATATATTAAAATCTAATAAAAATAACTTATTCATCAATATTCGACAAACTATTTTACATGTCCCACCCCAATAGATTCAACTTCAATCTCGACTTAGACTTTACTAAATACCGAAAAATAAAAATAAAATAAAATATTTTACTTGAAAAAAAATATATTTTTTGAAAAAAATATTTTACGTCGAAACAAGCGAATAGTGATCAAGTTTTTTATTTTTATTATAAATACGTGTAATGCAAAAGTAGAAGGAACAAATTCAATTATCAATAATATTATTAGATATCTTTGCGAATTTATTTTTCTTTGTGGATTCGAGGTACCCTACCTTGTGGATTCGAGGTAACCCTCGTTCCTTATAAATATTTATTTCTTCTGCTTACGTCATTCTCAATTTCTTCTACTAACGTCATTCTCGAATCTTTTTTCTTTTCTTGTGAGTTTTTTTTTTTTTTTTTGCCTAAGAGTTGCTAATTAGGTGTCTTTCTTATTCTTGAGCAGTTTGTTTATTGTTAAGAGTTGTACATAGGGAGGGGTTAGAATTAGTATTCACTCTTTTGTTTTTGGCCTTAACGTGACAACTTTAAATTGTTAAGGGCCTATGCGGTACGCATTTTGTTTTTGGCGTTTTATTTTTAGCCAAAACAGAAATAACATTTTTATTGTAGAGTGTTCTGGGTTGAAAACGAAAGCATGGTTGGCAACGCAAATTTGTTGTAAGAATTTCGGAAGCAGAAACATGCAAAACATGTTTTGTAAGTCTTTCATTTCAAGAAATTTGAAACAAAATATATTTGGCAAAGTCCAACTGTTGTCAAAGTTACTGAAACAAAAACAAGAAATATGTTTGGTAAAGAGTGATTTTGATTTGTTTTTAAAAATTTAAAATAATGAATACATTATTATTTATATATAATAGTATAATTTTTTTATATGGTTTGAAATTGTTTTTTACACATAATTTGTTTTTTCACAAAATACTTGAAGAAAAATACAATATGATGTGCAAATAAGTATTTTTTTTCAAAAAGTATGATTTGAGTATGATGATGTACACATAATTGAATATGTTGTTTACTTTAAAGTCCAAATTATATGACAGAAGAAATAAAAAAATTCAAGTAAAAAAGGCTTACCTTTTTTTCAAGCTTAGTCACAAATATTTGAGAAGATGAACTCAGTGAATCCTAACATAGCAATTGCAACACACAACAACACACATAGAGTAGCACACTTGCATTACTAAAATGTCCAAAATATATGAAAGAAGCAATAGAACTTTCTAAGTATTAAAAAAACTTACTTCTTTTCAAACCTAGTCACAAATATTTGAGAAGATGGAATCAGTGAATCCCAACATAGCAATTACAGCACACAACAACAAACACATGCATAGAATAACACATTTGTGTTGGTTTATGGGAGCCAACAATCTACCTTTGATTCGACGAAGGGCTTGATAGCCAACCCGTTGGCACTGTTATGGTGCAGCCCCTCATGTCCACCTGCCACTTAATGCGGGGCTATGTGCTGCTTATATAAGGAAATAAAGTTGCACCTTTGCTAACAACTATAACTTTTGGTTTAGTGGTAAAACATTTGATCCTGAAATCTGGTATCGGAGCATGGTCACAGGTTCAAATCCCAGGGTAGTTGTTGGGGAGGGGAGTTTGTTGGTTTATGGGAGCCAGCAATCTACCTTTGACTCTAAGAGGGGCTTGACATCCAATCCGTTGGCGTTGTGTAATACCCCTAATTGATGGGTTTTATTTCAATAATTAATGTAGAAATCAAGTATGTTGTAATTAATTAAAAAGTAAATTTAGCTTCGTACCTAATTGATGATTAAACCACCGAGTACTTTTAGATATTGGATAAGATCCTTAGAACCTTTGAGAATTTCTTACAAAACATTAGAGTGTTTTACCCCCTTTAGGAGTTGTCCTTCAATAGGTTGAATAAAGGTTTTAAAACCCTTATATATAACAACAATATAGGGGACGACTTCTCTACAAATAAATATACCTAAGTCTCCATTCCTATCATGAAAAATTAAATATTAATGGTTAGAATTAAATCACACCAAATAAATTGGAAAACCACAATCCAACGGTATAAAACCATACTCCCAATTAGACCACCAAATTGAAAAGTATAACCCAATCCTATTTTAGAAAACGTAATGCATAGGATCATAAAATAATTTTTATTATTTATATATATAATTTTTTAAACAATCTCCCACTTGGTAGTTGGTCCATACACTCTAAGTTTATAAAAAATGACATTATGGATTGCAACACACTTTTAGAAAAGTCGAGTGGACGCTCATTTTGTTTTATAAAAATATAATTATCGAAATAAATGGATTGATACTTTAAAACACTCTCCTCCATAAACTTCCTCAATAGTGGATTATGAATGCGTAGACAAGTAATATATTAGTCTAAACAGTTCCATGATCTTAAAATCGATTCCATATAGGATTCAAACAAATATAGTGGTTTTTTACTATATTTCATGAGATGTGCAAACTACACATGGTTTAAATGCACGGCTCGCTATCTGTAATACCCCTAATTTTAAAAGGATAGTCCTGGTATCTTAATAAATTATTTAAGTGCATTTTTATTTGTTTAATTGTTTATTTGTGTTTATTATATGAATTAATTGATTAATATTTGTTTAATTGTTTATTTGGATTTTATAAATCTTTAAGTTTGGAGGATTTTATATTTAATCTTTCTTTCAGCTTCATTATTTAAATTCTTAAATCTTTTTATATTCTGTGTTCGTTTATATATTAATTATTTGATATTCCCTCGGGTTTGGGCTTGGGCCTGATCAACCCATGTCTCGAATCTGAGGGGTATCGCAGTTGGTATCAGAGTACTCCAGGTTCAAGTGTCTCTAGGATGTTTCGTATTAAGACTTCCGCGTAGCGTTTTCCCTGGATTTAGAGCTTAAGTTTAAGATTCATTGTATTCCTTTACGGTCCATTTAGATTGAGCTGATGTCT